TGGCCCATCAGAAGAGGGGCTCAAATCCTTATGGCTACAACGCTTACCACAACAAGTGCAGGCTATACTAGCGTCTAGCAAGCACGAACTCGAAGAGCTATCGCAACTAGCAGACTGAATAACGGACGTGCTATCTACCGGCGTTAATGCTGTCGCAACGGTTGCGCCGACGAAAGCTAATTCGGTAGATCCGCGCTTATATATCAGGTAGATAGATTGGAAGCTCATTTATCGCGCAACAGATCACGGGCCTCGCGAAATTCTCGTCGCGTTCAAGGTCACAATCTGAGAACAAGCCGTACTAGTATCATCGACGTTTCGGCGGTAACGCCGTCAAGTGTACGCAACCCTGCAGCTGGAAGCTGAAAGCATCAACGAAACAGGAAAACTAGAAGCCGAACTATCCCCGACGGCAGATGGTTCGGCAGTGGCGAATCGCCGTTTGATAGTCCGGGACCGCGTCACCGACATCAGATTTCTGGTGGATACTGGAGCGGATATCTCGATCATACCCGCCTCAAGACGCGACCTTGCGCACATTGGAAAACAGATGCTCTACGCAGCAAACGGAACGATCATCCCTACATATGGACAGAAATTACTGCGGCTCGATTTGGAATTCCGCAGGATTTTCCAATGGCCCTTCGTTATCGTCGAAGTGGACACATTCATAATTGGCTCGAATTTTCTGGCGCATTATAATCTGCTGCCTGACATCCAGCACAAGCGGCTGATTGATGGCGACACGTTCCTTAAGGTCAATGCACAGCTTGTTAGCAGAACCGTTCCAAAGTTGACAGCCTTTGCCGACGACTGCCCTTTCAAAGAAATTTTAAATGAGTTCCCAGAGATAATTTGAGCATTGATTACGCATAAACAAGTCGCATATGGGGTAGAACACGTTATCGAGACAACGGGTCCCCCGGTGTCAAACAAAGTCAGACAACTCTGTCCCGAGAAATTAAAAGCAGCCAAGCAAGAGTTCGAATATATGATGCAACAGGGTTTACGCAGGCTTTCCAAGAACCCTTGGGCCAGCTCACTGCACCTGGTTCAGAAGAAGAACAGCGATTGGCGTCCGTGCGGGGATTACCGCAAGCTCAACCGTTCCGAACAGTTATTCAATTCCTACAAGACCTATTTCTACAAGACAGCACACATTTCCTACACGGTAAAACCTTATTTTCCACGATCGATTTAGTACGCGCATATCAGCAGATTCCGCGAATCAGATATTCCGAAAACTGCCATCATCACACCATTCGGACTTTTCGAATTTCCGTACATGACCTTCGTAACGCAGCTCAAACTTTTCAATGATTCATGGATCGGGTAACCATAGGACTCGATTTCTGCTTTACTTATATTGACGATATTCTAATCGCTTCGCAGGACGAAACTCAACACAAAGAGCACCTAAAAATTCTGTTCGGTAGACTGCAACAGCATGGAATAGCGATCAATCCGAATAAATGCGTGTTCAGGCAGAAGAGTGTCAACTTCCTTGGACATGTGATCAGCGCCGAAGGCATCAAGCCCTTGCCCAAAAAGGTCCAAGCAATTATCGATTTCCAGGAACCAGCTACTGAAAAAGGACTTCGACGATTTCTAGGAATGCTCAATTTTTACAACCGATTTCTGAAGAATATCGCAAGCATACAGGCACCATTGCTAAAAGTAATTTCTGGGCGTAAACGCAACAACAATGCGAAAATCGAGTGGACTTCTGAGCTCAAACAATCCTTTCAACGAGTCAAGGAACTCGCTCAAGCCACCTCGCTCGCATTTCCAGACAGCAATGCAACACTCTCGTTGCAAACAGACGCCTCAGACAAAGTAATCGGCGCGGTATTGCAACAGTACAGCAACGGATTTCTGCAACCACTCAGCTTCTTTTCAAGGAAACTCACTCCTACACAAACAAAGTATAATGCATATGATAGAGAACTATTAGCTATCTATGCGGCTATCAAACATTTTCGATATATGTTAGAGGGACGAAATTTTCACGTTATCACGGATCATAAACCCCTCATTTATGCATTCAAGAAGAAGTCAGAACAAATGTCGCCAAGACAAACTCGTCATCTACTCTTCATTTCGGAGTTCACAACCGATGTACGTCACGTTTCAGGCGCCGATAACATTGTAGCAGATGCATTATCTCGCGCTGACACTATCGTGATGTCAACTAGTCTCGATATGCAGGAGATTGCAGAAGCTCAAGCCTCGGATGATGAATTACAGCAACTGAAGCAATCTACATCAACGTCTTTGAAGCTCAAAAAGTTTACCTTATCGGAAACAGCATCCAATATTTACTGTGACACTTCAGAAAAAGAGATCAGACCTTACATTCCTGGACCTTACATTTCACTACGAAGGCGAGTTTTCGACATGGTGCATCAAATGTCGCATCCAAGCGGCAGAGCAACTCACCTGCAAATTGCGCAAAAATTTGTGTGGCCTTCCATGTCTAAGGACATTAAAGAGTGGGCCCGCACTTGTCTAGCATGCCAACAATCTAAAATTCACTGTCATAACCACACTCCACCTACCAAAATACCAGTACCAGATACTCGTTTCGAGCATGTACATATCGATATCGTCGATCCTCTACCTCCATCCAAAAGTTTCATTTATTAACAATGATTGACCGATTTACTTGTTGGCCGGAGGCTATTCCATTACAGGATTGTACAGCAAACACGGTGGCGAAGATGTTTTTCACTCACTGGGTAGCCAGATTCGAAGTTCCACGCTTGATCACGACCGATCAAGGCTCGCAATTCGAAGCGCAGCTGTTCGACATATTAACCAAACTCATTGGCTCTAAACGTTGTCGGACAACTGCATATCACCCGGAGTCTAATGGCATCGCTCTCTAAAAACAGCATTAATGTGTCACGGTGAAACTCAATAGATTGATACACTGCCACTTTCGGTAATCTTCGACCGCCCAAGGAATTAGTGCGATATTTCGAGAACGGTGCTACGACGATAGAGTACAATCGTACGTCCTATCAGACGTACAATCAGAGCTTCTGCGGTTAAATGTGTCTGCAGTTTCTACAAACGGTAGACGCGCATAAATTTAAAAAGCTCGATGAGGTGCTGTAAAATCTCAATATTAGTCGAACGCTTTTTCCGTCATGTCGCTGACACTTACGTTGAGCGGAAAGAACACCGTCCTCGCGGCGAACTACTTTCCCTCCATAGATTTGAGTGACGGCGATTACGAGCTCGGTCTGGTGATTTTTGAGACTTATCACATGTTACCGAATGTAAACGAATCGAACAATAAATTTTATATTGGCAAAGACGATGCAGAAATTACAATTCCCGAGGGTTCGTACGAAGTGCGAGACATAAATGAATTTTTGAAACGTATGATTTTACGGAAACGTTCGCACCGCAATGCACTTGAAACCGTTGACGTAGTGCGTGGTGACAATAACAACAACAACAACAACAACAATAATAATAACAACAACGACAATAATAACAACAACAATAACAACAACAACATCATCAACAACAATGACACTGATGATGATAATTGTGAGAGTGGAGAATACCCAATTACGCTCCGCGCAAACTACAACACGATGAGATGCGAGATTAAATGTGCATACAGAATAAACTTTGGCAATCCCAGGATTGGATCGCTGCTGGGATTCTCGTCGAAGCGTATGCTGTGACCGCGAAGATGGCACGAATCGAACATGTCGATCAACATAATGAATGTAAACGTTATCCGCGTAGAGTGTAACGTGACCGCGGGCGCGTACAGCAACGGCAAAAGCGCGCACACGATACACGAATTTTCGCCGAGCGTGCCACCAGGATATAAGATATCGGAGAGGCCGACGCAGATTATTTACCTGCCGATCACGGTACGGAGCATTACGGATCTAACGATACGCGTCGTCGACCAGAACGGACGATTGCTCGATTTTCGCGGAGAGGAGATCACCGTCAGATTGCACGTGCGACAGCGACAGCGAGCGTGAGATGCTCGTATTGAACGGAGCGGAGCGCACGCAGAGAGATAACGCATTCTTTACAAAGCTGGTAACATCACCGCTCGATAACGCTCGCTCATTCAATTGCGTCAGCAAGAAGAAACTCAGTGCGTCGAACGTTAAATTTTTACAATCTTTGGGATTCATGATGCGCAACTTTTAAGATGACTGATATCTTAAACATTAAAGA